ACTAAGTTAAACTTAAATCCATTAAAGTTAAATAAAATTAAAAATTCAGTTGTACAAGCCACATATACTGGACAGTATAAACAATGCTTTCATCACCACAGAAAGTTCAGTGGGTAGTGCTGGTCTAAGGGATACACTAATCCGTGTGACCAGGCCCTCTGTGTTGCACTCACAGGATGTTTCCAAGTTCACTGATTTTGCAAAGTGGTGGTGTTTTGTGTAAGGTCCCCACTAAACGCAAGTGATGCAGGGCAGTGATTTTGCTCTCTGCTGTTCCTCAGCAACGAGCACACGGGCTGGCACCCGGTAAGTGGTCAACAAATATTGTTGACGGCATGGATGATCTTAGGATATATTCCAATTCCAGAAATTAAAGCTCTGTTCTAGAGCGTTCGTGACCTGCTGGGAAACCGCAAAGGCTGTACCAATTTCCACTCTAGGTCTGACGGTCTCTGTGGCTCTCGGCAATGCTGCATTACCTTCAGAGGCCCCAGAAGGAAGGAGCATCTAATCTAGCAACAGGAATGTTAAACTCTACTCAACTGCTCATCCTCACTTGATCCTGCACTCATGTCTGCACTCAACAAATCTGCTTGCACACCTACTAAGTGCCAGGCTCTGTTCTGGTAACCATCTCCATGCTCACCATGAACGGTAGGTGCTCAATCATCTGTGGAGTGAACAGGCTGAAGATGGGGTTCAGTGTGATAACCCAGGATAAGCTGCAATGACCTTGATTATCCCAACATGCCTCTCAATAAGCATCTCCAGCAGAGGCCCCAGCCCATGTCCAAGAGCTGCAGCTCCAGCCAAGGACTCCAGGAAAGCAGAGGCCACTTTCTACTTCGGGGCTAGTCACCCAGGCCCCAGGACTAGAACAAACCGGAGGGAAATGAAACAGGGACTTACCTTGGTTGGAACCGTCGAACCACATAGCCCAGTCTCTTCAGGTGGCTGAAGACCTCGAAAGAAAAAAAAGGAAAGGTTCTGTGTCCTTTATAAAATACCACCTAGTTTCTCCAGACAGAAGCCCCCTGCCCCCCGGCCCCCATTCCAAACCTGGGAACTGGCTGGACCACACTCCATTATAAACACCCTCCCCAAACTAAGGACTCAATAAGAATGAATTCCTGTCTCTTGCTTACCTTACTTGGCACAAATTACACATAGCAGTTTCTTGATTTAAATGCAAATCTCAAAAAGCTGATAGCTGATGGGCCAGGCAAAGAACTATGCCCTAAAATTTTTTGATACTAAAGCTGACCGAGTGGAGCTCCTGACTACAATGTGGACAAGAAGATGGCAGAAGGTGGGGCACACCCCACTCCTCTCTCCAGACATGCTCACCCTCCTGTCCCCACAGCCACATTAGAGAGCTGTATGCAGGAACCTCCCCCAACCTGCTCGATCTCTCAGCAGTCTTCAACATCATTGACAACTTCTTCCTTAAAAGACCTCTTGGCTTCTGTGATGCCACCCCTGCTGGTTTTTCTCCTGCGTTGCTGGACACCCTTCAATCTCTGTTCCTGGTCTCTCGTCTTACCCCTGACCTCCTCACGTTGGAGTACCCTGGGTCTCAGATGCAGCCCTCCACTCTGGCCACACACTCATACAGCCCCCTGGTTTTAAATACCCTCCATGTGCTGCCCAGCTGGCGTGGCTCAGTGGTTGAACCATGAGATCAGGTTTCGATTCCACCCCTCCACCCCTCACCTTGCAGGCTCTATCCCCAGTAGGAGACATGCAGGATGCAGCTGATCAATGATTCTCGCTCATCACTGATATTTCTATCTCTCTCCCCCTCTCCCTTCCTCTTTGAAATCAATTTTTTTTTGAAGTGTAAGTACTGTCCATGTGCTCATGATGTCCACTCTTGTGTCTCCCCCCTTTGTCTTCTTCCTATCACTCAGTTCTGTGGCATCAACCTTCCTTTTGATGCCGATTATTCATGGCCACCACTAGGGTGTCAGCACCATGGCAGCAGCGCCCGTGTCTGTCTCACAGCCCCAGCACATGGCTCCGTGGCTGGCACCTCGGAGGTACTTGTAAATACTAACTCAGTGGGTGGGTGGGGATACCTGATACTGCAGGAAAGTCACGGTGCCCTCCGTCAGCAGCAGCTGGTAGGCCTCCTGGATAGACAAGGGCAGGTCTTCATGGAAGAGTTGGATGGAACCCTGGAAGTGGGGCCAACAGCTCAGCTTGTAAGCCCTCCCTGCAGTGGCACAGCCAATGGAGCAACTTCCTGACTCTAATACCTGTGCAGCTCCCGCCCCCCCGCCCCCCACCTCGCCCAGCATCACAGCGAGAACACTGTCAACCAGGAAGTGGGGAGCAGCAGCAACGCTAACATGCACGGAATCCCTGCTTCCTGCGCGGTCTTCTGCTCTAGAAGGCAGATTGCAAGCTCCCTGAATCCTCAGTCGTGTGTACTTTTTCTCCAAAAAGCAAAACACATGCTCTTCCGGTTCCTCGGTCCCAACCCCCTTCCCCGCCGTCCTGGGGTCCCACTCACACACTCCAGCAAGTACAACGCCTCCTCGGGGTGCAGCCGCTGCCGGCCCTGCTCCGAGAAGCCCATGGTCTGCCAGAATTTGCCCTGTGCGGGGCCCACAGCGCATGTCACCACGGAGCCGGGAGGGGAGGGGAGGAGGGAAGGCAGCTCCCCGCCCCTGAACACCGCCGCTCACCGCAGGCGTCTTCAACTCCACGAACCCCTCTTCCGGTCTCCATTCGGCGGCCACCAAACTGCCCCTGGCAAAGGGTGGGTCTCAGTCTACGGGGAAGTCCACCCGGCCCGTCCGACCCCCGCGCCCCTGCCCCGCCCCCGG